GGGGGGGGGGGGCTGCTGCTGACGAAAACAGGAGGCTCAAATTATAGGGCAGACCCCCGTGACTTTGGCCGGATATGAAAATGAATGCCTCAAACGTGCAGTGCATTGCCCGCTGCCATGCCTGCCCGCTGTCACGCCCCCTTTCCCCTGTGCCTTCGTCCGCGCCCCCGACCACCCTCTTTCTCTCCCACGTCCATTCGCCCCCGCCCTCCCTTCCACACTGCCAACCTGCCCCCGTCTCAACCCGTCGGCCCCGCTCTCGTGCGCCGATTCTGTAGACTGCTTCTTGAAAGGTCATTTTCTGCAAACGAGGTATCCCCCGACCGACACTCTGTGGCTGCCAGCTCGGGCTGGCCGGCGCCGGCGTGGTCCCAAACCGAGTTACCCGCCAAGGCTCGGGGGTCGGAATTGGTGTGTTCAGCGCACCAGATGGGTGTCTGCCAGCGGGGCCCGGGGCCCCACCACCATGCCCGATTAGGCACTCTGTCGAACGCTCTGCGCGATATGCGTGGCATTGTGGCGTACACTTGTTTTTCTCGTCGTAAGAAAAATGTTCTCGCCAGAATTGCAATTTATTTAGGTGTTGTCGGTGTCGGCAAGAAAGCGATTTTAGTAGATCTAGTGATATGTTGTCAATTTATTTGAGTTCAAAGTGGGTTTGCCAAACAGCTTTGGAAACTTACTGTGCAAATTACTGTTGTACACTTTCGCTCATTTGAAATTTCCATAGTCCAGCACCTAAACATGTCACTTTCAGGAGTGAGTTTATCAGTATTAGGAAACCTAGCTGACGTTTTCACCAAGTAATCCCTTATTAATTAACTGCCTGTCTGCCGTCTAGTTGGCTGTCTGGCGCTCGCTCGAACGTCACACGGCGTGCCGCTCTATATATACGTGGGAACGTCTCATACGCAATGGACGAGGAAGTTCGGTTCGGAATGTCGTTATTGCCACAGGGGAATGGCAATATCTGTTAGTGAATGAGAGAGAGAGTGGGAGTGTGGGAGGAAGAGAGGGGATGACCTTTAAAGAGAGGAAAGAAGACGCTCCTGAAGAGAGATCATGATGAGTATGATAACTACTGCGAGAGAGACAGACGAGCTGATTGCTGCAGTGGGACGCATCAGTGACGCCAGTCGTAGGCTCTGCCTGGAGGGAAGACCCAAGACCCTGCCCCGCTCCTCTGCGGCCCTGGCGCCAAACTTTATTAATCAAGAACGATTTCAAAGAGTCCAGGAATCCTGGCGGCGTGGCGTCGTGCGGGAGGGGAGAATGAGGAGAAACTTTTGGATACGTAACGAACGTCATTTCTTCCCTGAACGAGAGAGACCCCCCTCCCCCGACCCGGCGCCTTGCTATTCTCCCTTGCCCCTCTGTGGAGTCTAGAAGTGGGGAAAAATTATCATCACAACCTCTGCTCGAAGGGCGCCGGCTGCCACTTATCCGTCCTGGCTTTCCTCCAAACGAACAAAAGTAAGGATCGAGGAAATGAAATGTGGGCGGTGTGAAAAACACCCGCCTTGTTGTCCGGCACAGCCGTACTGGAAACACAAGAGTGTCAATGTCGCACACTTGTAGGTGTTTGAATATCCATTCGTACACTAAGAGGGGTAAACGTGTGAATTTTTCCTAGAAAACCTTTCTTAGAAAATCACGTTTACCCCCTAAAGGTGCGAATGGATATTTACACACCCGGGTGGAAGGGTCTTAGCTTCATTTATCAGTTATTAGTGCGGGCATGCATCAATTGTTTGTGTATAACACGTGATGTAAGACACCTACAAGTGACAGACTGATGTATATTTTTGGACAGCTCCAATAGGAAGGGTGTCCCTTACACATGAAGCTCGCACTGTATCTCTAAGAACTGCAAGACAATTTGTGCCTCACAGCC